TTTAATCACGCCGATTAGTTTTCCCCTCAAGGGTCGATTGGTTCACTGCATCGCAGGTGTGATATTGTGATTGGCTCTTGGCCACATATCAAACATTAGAAGCGCTGTCATCCTCTCATAGTGACACCTGAGACCATCATACATACACACATAGGGAGACGCCGGGACGAAAGTAAATCGGAGCCGATTTTATCCAAGCCCAAACAACTTTGACCGGCAAATTAGTCAGGAATTATCAGCATTCAATACTTTAACAAGACCTACTAAATATCAGGTTTAACTGTCACGAGCTAGTCTTGTCACGATACCCAACATTTTCTTGGTTTCTCCAGTCCAGGAATTGCGATTCCGATTCTTTTTCGATCCGTTTCTCTACAAAAAATAAGGGAGAACAGTGTTAAATGTAATTATTGTGCTTTATTATCACTCCAGGAGTACCATAACACATAACTTTTAAACAATGACCACAAAAAATAAAATAATTGACAACGAATTCAGTATTAAATAAAAATTTAATACATTTCTTACAGACAGGCCTCCGTTGGTGTCTTGGTAGGCTTTTGCCTCCTCACTGTCAGAGATATAGCTAAGAAATACATCAAAATTCGCTGTCTGGCATCTTTTTGTCAACAAGCCGACAGTAGCGCAGCTGGCGCAGTTGCCTCCCCACTTGCAGTCCATGGCTTCCTCGTTTTCTCATGCTCTGGCAGCTAGCGCGTGCACGAGAGAGGGGAGGGGCTTAGAGCGTGCTTGAGAGGGGAGGGACTGCAGGCACGGCTGCAGTTCAGGGAGTGGAAGCAGAGCGCTGAACACACACGGCTCTAAAACGGCGCTTTCTCAACTGAGTACTTCCCCCCGTCATTCTTAAAGTACTGAATACTGATACTAATGAAACGGAGGAATCGTAACGTTTTTAACGGCAGGGTATCGCGGTATACCTTTCAAGTATCGGTACACCGTGCAACACTAGTCAGGAGTCAGTGTCTCTCCCCCAAACTCACACATATAAAATTCGATATGAACTGAAGAGCCGCATGAAACTAGGCAAAGACCCGCATGCGGCTCGAGAGCCGCGGGTTGGCCACCCCTGCGCTAGATTGTTCATCGATGGAGAAGAATGTCTTCGCTCAAACACTGCAATTGACATTGTTGTTGCCTGAAGCAGAAGCTGTATCAAAATCATATTGGACAAATAAAATATGAAGATTTCGTTTGACGTCTCTGTGAAATATACTTCCTTATAGGAGGCAGGAAAAAAGCAAGCTGAGGAAGGATGCCGCACTGGGGCAGGCACCGCTTGACTTTAGGAGTCGTAGATCACTTTCTCAGCGTTTGTATAATCGGCTTGAGGTGCAGGTGAAAGCGGACTTGGTGCGGGTCGATACGAGGGGTGATCGCTGTAAGGGGGTGGGTAGAGTCAGAGGAGGAGAAAGAGCAAGGGGTTGATTCCCCGGAGAGAGTAGCAAGACGACTGGAATCTCAATAATCACATCAAACCTGCTGCATCCCACAGCTTGATTAGCATTGATTGCTTTTGAATGCAGCAAGTCAGGAGGGCTTGAAATTCAAATTGGTGCTGCAAATGGACCAGCATAAACCACACATTGCTGCTGAAGTGAACATGGATGCTAGTTCTCCTGTTCAAAAAATATCATAAAGTAGGTACCAAAAGTCAATATTTTGTAGCATGAATCTTAATAGGTTCATATTTCTCTGTGCAAAAAATGACTAACGAACATCTAAATCAGGGCTATTCAATTAGTTTGGAATGGGGGCCGGTTGATGAAAATGATCCAAAGCAAGGGGCTGGGAAAAAGATGGCTTGAAATATGAGCAATCATATTAAGAGCTTCAGATAAAGTTAATACTACAACAGCATAGTGGAGTACATATATTGTGTTTAATTAAATCAACAAGATAGCCCCAAGGCCTTTATAGATCTAAATGGCAAGTTCAGAACTCAGTAGGCCTACATGTGAAGCTGATTTAACCATCAACATCATTTCATTTGATTTAATGTAGGTGAAATGATCTAATCATTTAAGCAGAGATGCAATAAATGACAGGAGTTGTCACTACAGTAGCTAGTAGGTGGGCTTGAATTAAACCCGAGCCCGCCGAAGTTTTAAGGCAATGTCTTCCCCTCTATCTCTCATTTAACACCCTCTCTGGAATAAAGGCACTTTAGACAAAAATCTTTAAATAACAAAGTAGATTACTTTTTAAAGGTCCCATGTCATGGCCATTTCTACTGATCATAATTCCATTGTTGAGGTCTACTAAAATAGATTTATATTGTGCAAGTGGGGATAAAGAGGATACGGCGTGGAAGCTGACGGACTTTTCGAGGACCTGGTCGAGCGTACATTTGTGTCCGGGCCTTGTCTCAGGTCGAGTATTCGGGACCCACATGCCGTAGTTCTGCTCACCATTATAATACGTCATGGATTCTTCGGTATGTTATTAACTTATTACTGTAATCACCACCTAAATACGGAACAAGCATGGAGGTCGGCCTATCTAATTGGACACGTTTGGAAGGGCAGTAGATACGGTACGAGAAATTGAACACAAATTTAATTAAAGTAGATTAAGCTATACACTAATTACTCACGTGTATCCAGGTCGTGAAAGCAAACGAGAACTTAATTAATCAACTGTGTCACAATAAGTTCAGGATGGGTGTCCCTTAGTCACTAAAAGGAGTCTCGGTCAGGTTTACCCTGTAAAATAGTTAAGTCCTACCGTACTTACTTTAATCCACCCCGAACTAAAACAACTAATCCCTTAGAGTTAGCTAAGAGCTGAACTTGACAGAACGGACAAAAGACCACAAACATCATGAAGTACGTGCTACATATAGTAAATTATAAAGTTATGGATGATAGGTGTCAATTGACTGTGAAGTTGAAAATAGAGCATAACGAAGTTTATTGTTTAGAAAAAAGTACAATGACAATGGATTTGACTGTGAAGTTAAAGAAACAGGAAATGAAATATCTCTGTGTAGTTGAACGAAACATAAAACACATGAGAGTCGCGAACTTCTTATCTGCAAAGCGAATACAATACGTAAGGCACGGAACTGCTGTCATTAGAACTTAGCGGCCGACTCTAGATGTAGGATCAGTCACGGGAAGACTTCTCGGAAAGAGCCAGGCGAAACGTCAGCGCGTAATAGCCCTGAAAAGTTAGGTGCACTTACTGACCTCGATATCTGAGTTTATGATTTAGGACTTCTACTCACACTTGGTTTGACCGGAAGCCAGGACAACTCAGTCACAACCTCCCTTTCTCAAACGGGGACCCGTGGGCACGACGTTCCCCGTAGTACGCTCCACGTCTAAGAGCGACACTTCAATGAATTTAGGCCAGCCCCGCCCAGCTCATCCCGACCCGCATCTCGCGTCGTTTCACCCTCCGGACTACTGGACCGTCTCCAACGTCCCTATCCAGACAACCTCTCCTTAGGTGTGATGCAGGTAGACTTACTGGTGCCTGTAATGGGGACCTATGTGGAAGTGCAAAAATACACTAATAAAGTATGTCACGTCCAGTGTCTATAGGTCTGTCTAAAACACAGGGTTCGAAATCAAATCGTATTTTTTGCAGATTGGAGTACAGGATATATTGAAAGAACGTCCGGCGCTTTGTTGAATGCCGCTCATGTCATCCACCGCGCCATACGGTGGACATTTCACGTCCTAGCGGTTTTTGGCTCTCTTCTTCTTCTTCCTTTTTGAAGGGCGACAGGCGACATTTACTAACGGCAGACAAATCGGAAGGCTGGAGTCTGCCTCTACTACCCTCATCTGACTTCGAACTAAAACCACGAGCACAATATGTCGGAAGCAATTGACTCAATAAATTTTAATGTTATCAACGTCTGTGTGGAATCATCCGTTCCTATTTTACAGTCAATAGTTTGTCAGCACCGTTATATTATTGTTTTGACACGGTCCACACAGCATACCGTGTCATTTATCCCGAGTCGTCCCAATTATGTGGAATAATATATGAGGAGGACTCTCGTTGACGTTAGGCAGGACGGTACTTGGGATTGTCTTTGGATGCACATCAAAACCGGGTATCACCTGAGGTAAAACACAACACATTTTTACCTCCTTTATTTTTTCACATCGTTTTAGGGGTACAGGAGGAGTCTCCTGTAAGTATTCTTTGTAAAATCAAAATCCAGTTTATTAATAATGTGGACGAGACTTTGAGTGATGTGATTAGGATTCTACAAGGGAATGATAATTAATATTAATTGTATAACTTGAGTGCTTGTGAGTGTTGTGACCATTAAGTGAATGTACACTACATATCCTACACTACATATCCTACGATTTGTCAAGTCATTTCTATTTCACCAGTCTCCTCTTTATTCGTTCTATGTCCTAGACAAATTAGCGGTACATCCCAAAAAATCCAAAAAAATAAATAGTCGTCATCTAGTTATTCACAAGTCATATAGTTTTGTTATATTTATTGTCACGTTATATTATATATTATTGTTATATACCATCCGAGTCGTCGTCTGTGTGGAATCAGGGTCTTGCGGAGCAACCCTCTAAAGAGAAAAAGGTAAAAAAAGAAGAACCCCCATATCACCTGTATAAACCCATTATCAATTCATTGTGTGGTGTGTGTGTGTGTGTTGTGTGTGTGTGTGTGTGTGTGTGTGTGTGTGTGTGGTGTGTGTTGTGTGTGTGTGTGGTGTGTGTGTGTGTGTGTGGTGTGTGTGTGGTGTGTGTGTGTGTGTGTGTGTGTGTGTGTGTGTGTGTGTGTGTGTGTGTGTGTGTGTGTTGTGTGAGTTAGAAAAGAGTCGACGTCGAGGCGACTAAAGAGTCGGACTGTGTGTTGTCGGTCCCACCACACACACACGAGCCCGACCAAAGCCCGACCTAAAGCGGACACAGAGTGTCCCTCCCCCCCCCCCGTCCTCGAGGTTGTTCGGCAAATCCTGTCTCTCACTTATTTGTATGATATGTCTCTACGACATACTCTTTGGTTACACTC